GAAACAACAACTGGAGATACAAAGCTCAAGCCAAGGGGATTTTTGTCTTGGCTGGTCTCTGTTTTTTACCTCTACCATGATCACTGAGTTCCAATGTTGCCATAAAAACTGAAGAAAAAGTTAACTCCTTACCTGAGCTACAGCAATTTACCATCTATGTAAGAAATTAACCCAGCCCCCATATTTGTAATTATTATCTATTAGACATTCTACTTCACAGCAGGGATAAACATGAATTTGTAATGCCATGCAGCTGTGAGTGGGTGTTTAGGTGATTACCATGGCTGACTGCTCTCTTCAAGGGCTTGCCAGGCCAGAGCTAACTGCATTCAGACTCTAAGATTTGCAGTTTCATACTCAGCCCTTCCCTTCTATCCTGATTGGCTTCCCTTTCCAAAGCAACAAAGCAGGAGACATTCTTCAATTGCTTTCAAGCTGCCCATTCTGCCCAAGAGTTTAAATGCTGATGGTTTCAACTATGCCTGCTTGGGACTCCCAAAATGCATTCAAATAATACCACAGCAACCTGATTAAATTATTAATATAAGTTTGATTCAATAACTGAAAATGTTTTATAGGTCATAAATATTTCTTACAATATGGTGACTTCTGGCAGAATTCCCGATTTGATCCAAAGCTGGTGTTTCAATAAGAAAGTCTTAAAAGTAAATTTCAACTGTCATTTTGGCAGCACATTCACAAAACACAACTTATCATAGAAATTATGCCAACAAGGTTAAAAATTGCTTTTGTTTAAATTATGAATTATTGACCACAAAGTGATCTAGGTCCTCTGCTCAACATGCTCTGGAGAGAATTATCACCCTGACCGGCTTGGGATGAACAAAGAGAACAGCTCAATATGCTGGGCCACCTTTAGGCAAATTTTTAGTTTCTCTGTAAGACTGTGAGTAGAACCCAAGGTCAACTGGATTTGAGGACGTGCAGAAAGCAGAAAAGGGATGAAGACAGAAATGGAAAAAAGGGTTCATGGTGAAACAATAGCTAGAGTGTTATTCTGGATTACCACATGGTGCCATGGAGCCATTCATAATCAGACCTGAATATGTCCCTGACCACTATAGATTACACTGAAAGAATTACTTTAGGTAGTTTCAAAAGAAACCAGTAAATTCTCTTATATAAGGAAAGTTTTTTCTTCTGCCTGTGCTGAACTGGATGTGATTTCCCTGTTAGCATAAAAGTTCCCAGAGTGTGTCTGTGTATATTCACTTATATTTCTCTCTGTGTGTTTATTTTCATGGCACAGTCACATTCACTGGTTATTTTTCAGACTATAATACATCTTGGGTGTTCTGGCTAAACTGATGCTGCCAAAATTGTCAGCAAAAAGACCGGAAAAGCTGATGAACCTTAAACTTTACCCCAAACAACGGCTCAGTTGTTTCTTCAGGATATGGAAGAGGCAGAAAATCCAAGAAAGAGAAGCAGTAGGAAACCAGGGAGGAAGGATAGAAATCTGTCTGACGTGGATTTCACAAACCTCTGTGTTTGATATTTTAGAGACCCTGAAACAATTATCCACAGTTATTAGCATTTTTGGAGTTATAAGAGATTTGAATATAAAGGAAAGGTAGTTCAAACTTCAGTTCAGTGCTCTGCTTATTCACTAGTCTTTGCTTTCATTTTGCTTAGAAATTTAATATCTCTGTAAATTGTACCAGTAATGTTTGAACATCTAAATATGACTTTTGAAAATTATCTTTTAGACTAAAATCTCCAATGGTATGTGCAAGATAATTTCTGACAATTTTAACATGAACAAACTGAAGAAATAGCTCTTCAGTTTCTTAGGAGTAGTGTCTCTTTTGCGAATGGGACTTGTGCTAAGAGCTGCTTAGGTATTTTTAACTTGTATGCCATATAATTAAAAAACTAAATATATGCATAAAAATAAATACTACCATGGATAATTCTTATTCCCTTCTGTGGGTTTGTCAGACCCACATGTACAGCACTGTGGTTTGTGGGATGTTCTCCTAGCAGCTCCTACTAACATCAGAAATACTTGGGCAGCTGAATCTTCCTACCCCACACTGAGTTTGCTACTTGGCACTACTTTATGTGCAGATTTGATATGCCCATATCTCTGGTTATTTGCACCAGGTTTACTTCACTTTCTTGTTATCTTACAAACACTTTTAATAACAGCTTTATGCTATTACTTGCTGGGCTTCTCTGCTGTAAAATACAAATAAAAATTCTTTGTATTAAAAAATTATGAAGATATGGTCCCTGCCCCAAGGAGGCTATAATTAAAACAAGACCAGCATTATAGAAACATATATTCTAGCTGGCCTCTAACTGGATGGTCTGTTTAGTTTTGTTTTGACATATTGTATGAAGCAGCTTTTAACAGATGTTGCGAAATTAGCTCTCTGAGCTTCTTGTATAAACTTAAAGCAGAGATTCATGTGTATGAATTAATTTCATCACTGAACGTGGGTATTAATGTCAGCAGGCATTTTTAAATGTTTGTGCCTATTCTGCTGTACTTTGAGTCTCCTTGCCAGAAATATAGAAACTTCTCAAGAGAAAGTGCCTCAGTTGTAGCAATATTTTCTAGCACCATACTGATAATTTTCTTCTGTTGAGTGAATGTTGCCTTGTACAAGCCCAGCAGTGGCAAAAAAAAAAAAAAAAAAAAAAAGGAAGAAAAGTGTCAATTGTTTCTTTACAGACCCTCTGCACAGAGTGTTGACCAAAAAAATCTCCCAAAACCCCAAAGTGGAAGGGTGTCCCTGTGTCTTTATGCCAAGTTATCCCTCTTCTTGTCAGTAATGTTAATTTATCATGCAAATCCTGCAGTTTATATCATTATGGCTGCTCATATCCCTGCTGACACAGCACACATCCAGCAAGGTGACAGATTTTCCCACTGCTCCTCTTTGCCAGGAGAATCGAGTGCTGAGGATTAGATTCTCTTTTACAGCTTCCAGGGCAAAGTCAAACCAGCATGAAGGGGGAGCTGACAGAGCAAGGCCTGGCCCTCCGTGCTGCACAGGCAAGGAAACAAGGCAGTCAGGCAGAGAGTGGATACAAGACCTGGGACAAAGCCTAAAACAGGATACTAGTTAGAAGTGTAGCTGACAAACTGTCACAGATTTTATAATTTCTACCTATATTTAATGTATTTTGCGTATCACATCTGTATTCTTTTTTATTTTGTGTCCTCCTTAGTTTAGTTTTCATACATTGAAGTCTTAAGTGCTTCTAAAACAACAGCTATGCTTTTAAAAGATCATTTCACACCCACCCCACTCAAATTACAACAGACATGCAATATTAATTTAGGGAGAGTGGGCACAGATGTTATCAAAATCACCCTCTTACCTGCTAACTCCACCAAATTTTCCAGTGCTTGGATATTTCCTTCCACTGATGTGTAGAATTTTATTGTAATGTTCTCTGTGCCTTTTTTCCCCCTCAGATGTTTTATTCCGTTACTAAACCTGCATATGGCTTCCTCCTCTATCAGCTGTCTGAGCTAAAACAATACTTCATGACAATCACTGAACTGAAAAACAGCTCTGAAGATAGATACTGATGTGATCAGGTGTGAGGCCAAGAACTTGTGCTGAGTGCTAGAAGAGCACTTTATAACCACAGTAAATCAGTGCATTTGGGCTAGACAACATGGCAGAGAAGGGAAATGTGAAATATAAGCTGGAGAAGAATGCATGAGAGGGAAGTGAAAAGGCATATTTAAACTGGATTTTCATTTTCCAGTGTTAAGTGTGAGTTAACCAGTCAGCTTTTCTTTGCTGACTCTGAGTTCTCTACTTCAATATTGTGCTGCTAACACACAACTGCACATCAAAACGGGCAGATGTGAGCACTCTCTGTGCCTCAGGCCTGTGAAAAGCTATTGTAACACAGCACTAAATTTGGACTAATGCGCCCTGGCCCTCAGCAAGGACTAATAGCTCAGGATCAGCTTCATGCTAACAGCTTTTGAGCTGTCTGAAGTGGAGGCAAAGTGAGTTTTATCTTCCCACAATGTACTTTGTGGAGCTATCCATATTGGGTCGAATTGGGAAGAAGCATTGAAAGCTTTTTAAATACATGACTGAGCCATACACCTACAAAAAGCAAAGTGCATTGCAAAGGAGGGAAATATCACTGCTCATATTTATGATACGTGGTATTAGGATATGAAAAAGCAACACAATGATCAGGTCTGGGGTGTGGTTCAGGCCTCCATTGCCTTATCCACCAGAAATATTGGGACTCAAACTGGCAATAGCAGGATTGTTCATATTCTCCATTAATATTCAATCCCATAATTCTTTATACTAAATCCCGTGTTTATCAGTGTGTAAATGGATAAATTACAAACGCTACAGTGCACTCTAAACAGACAGATTTTTCTTAGTTTAATACCTACAGATTCAAATCAGAATAATGTCAATCTGTTGTGAAAATGGAAATAATTTTAATTCCTGTAAATTGGTAAAAGCAATAACAGTACCCCTATAAAAATATGCATTGCTTGTCACACATCAAGTTTCATATCTTTACAAAGAAAGTGAAAGAGAAAGCTCCTAAGTTCCTCTAATTATGCTTTGATTGCAAATGACTTAATGTTCTAATTAACAAAAGAATTGATTGTATGCAATACACAATGTCCTGCATCGCTCTACCTTTGTGCTTAACTTTATTTTCCAAAAACATGATATGACATTAATGACATATCCTAGCCCAGAATTCAAGTCTGTTTTAACTCGGTTTCCTTCTGTGGCATTGTTTCAGGGACTCATTTGGCTTTAAACATCTCAGATTGTGCTGTTTAGAAACATGTGCTGCCATCGAGTGGGCAGTATTAAGAAGTGCAAAAAACCAGCTTACTAAAACACTTGGGAAACAGGTAAGTATCTGTATTTGTTATCGTGAATTAGATGAATTATGCATATGTATGATATTATATAAGAACTAGTCAAAAATCTGTGGGTTTAACACTGCTAATGGAATCAGGAATATTGATTCAATCTTGTTTATTTTCAGCTCAAGAAATCCTTTCCAATGAGAACAAAATGATCAAAACACACCAAATTAATCACCACCAAATTCCAACAATACCAGTTTTTTTACTCATTTCTGTTTCTGTTTATCTCTTTGTTTTTCCTCTAAGTCTTTGCAAAACTTGTTTTTGTACAGGGTGCATTGCTTTCCTTCCACTCACACACGCAAACACTTCTACCCAAAACATCAGCCAGCCCAGGTACCCTGCCCACACAGTCCTCATTCTTGCATGAGTTCACACGAAGCTTCATTTCAGAAACGGTTTTGGTTTAAGGCTTCTTCTTGTTTCCCACATTTGACCCAGAGTTAAGAGACTTAGAGTTAAACTAGCTGCATCTAATAGCAGTAAAAGTCCACAATGGCCAAAATAGAAACACTGCAGTGCATTAATGCAGTTTAAATCTTACTAAACTTAAATATCTACAAAACTTTATCTACTAAACTTTAATATCTAAAAAATATAAGCAGACATTTCAATCCATTATGAAAATGTGCAAATTTGTACCTCTGAATGTTGGACTATTAACAGACCCTCTAGAAAAACATCACACATCATGGTAGTTATGCTTACATAGAAAATGAAAGGAGAAAGTGAAAGAAGTTCCTGAAGATAATTTCCTCTATGACAGCACATCTATAATGTAAAGGTTTGCACACGAGGAGTGTGATTGTAAAGCTGCCCTCTGCAGTACAGTTCCTCAAAGCAAACCTGCCTGCTGCTCTGAGATCCTCTATGCCAAATGCCAGTTAGCTGAGGCTGCAGGCTGCTGACTTAATTATATTGAATAAAGGTAAAGCTCTGTAAGCCTTGCCTGTGGGCTTCAAACAGATTATTTGGGAACAGAGCTTAAATATATGTTTGGACCAATCCCTTCTTTTGTGAAAGTTTAGTGGTTTTGTTTTGGAAAACTTAGAAAGTTTTAACTGACCTTTATAATCACTGAAGATCTTTGGAAACTTTTATGAATGGAGATTGGTGTAGTATTTTACTTAGGTTGTCACTTTGTGCAGAAAGAGACTGCTCTTGTGGTACAGTAGGAGATGAAATAAATATATATTTAACTAAATAGGTATAATGGAATGCCATACAGTAGAAGAGTCTCTGTGATGCTTTTTCAGCCTCTATATAAAAACAGGTAAATCTATGCAGTAATGACATCTGTTTTCCAGGTATTTGCATTTTATACTTGGTTGATTTTGTTTTTAAGAAAATGTGAGTTTCAGCTGAAATTTCTACCCTCAAAGGCCTTTTTTTTTTTTCATGTGGATACTCTTGTCTAATTAGGTAGGAATATAGAATACAATCTTTTTTTCTTACTGGATAAACTTACAGCATATCATATTTGTTTTCTGCTTTGGCATTTACTTTCATCAAACTTGTGGGTGCCAAATTTTCTTTGACAATTTTACCTTACTCTCAAACTTGTTAGAAATTACTATTGATTGAAAAATGCTGTGGGTGAGAGGTAAATGGAACATGGTGATGCATGGAAAATGCTGTTGTAAGTCTCTAGTCTCTATCACTGTGCTCAAGTTCTTGATTACTTGATATTAAAGTGTTTAGAATACATGGAAAAACATAAAAAACTCAATTTATATCCATGAATTAGAAGACAATCTCAAGATAAAAAAGTCACACTTGTGATTTAATAATTGGCAACGTTGTGCTAGATGGAGTGTGGAACAAACTCAACAACCAACTTTCTTTCAGATAAACTTTAAATGTCAAAACATCCCATGATAACTTCGCATGTGTTTGGTTTTCAGTGTTTTGGAAACTGTCCACTCAGCCTTTTAAAAATTGTGACGCTGGTTTGGCTTTGGAAAAATTGGTTAAATATACTCTGAGAGCCAGTAGTTTAATGAGAATCTATTAGGTTTCCTGGGTTCTGAAAACTTTTGTCATCAGTGAAGGTAAAAATGGGAAAAAGAGCCTTTACTGATTTACAATTTTTGATGTGTTGTTCATCAAATTTTCAGAGTTTTTTGCCCATTATAACCTTGATGAGTTAATGAGATTATGCAATATTACTAATGGCAGACTTTAATTTCCATTTTAAAAATAAACATCTCTAAAATATAAACAGGAAGAAAAAATAATCAGTCTTGTCAACCTCTCCTGGCTGTGGTCTTGGGCTTTTATATCCTCTGTCTTTTCATGAAACTAATTTATTCTCATACCCTTCTGGGAGAGCTTTGGGTCTCTCAAGCATTGTACCATCTTCAGGACCAGGATTTCCTGTAATTATCTCCCAGTGATTCTTATCTTCTTCAACTCTGCGGGAGTCCAGATAATTGTGACAAATGACTTCAAATTCTCTCCCAAAATGAGACCTGCAAAGTCAAAAGAGTTGGGATAGTCAGGGAGAATTTTCATATATACAAATTCAGCAAATCTTCATTACTTGTGAATTGTTCAAGATTTTCTCTTTTCTTTTGGTATACTCAGAAACATCAACATGCACTTCCAAATACCAGACCCTTACAAGAAACACAATAACCCGCTATGTTTCCTATGAATAATTTAGGAATGTGAAATCCAAAATAAATGCCACCTTTCTAGCCTCGGTGCTAAAAAGAGCCCCAGCAGAATAAGGCCCTAATGCAGCAACTCAAATTTTAAAAACTGATTAGGCCCTCATCCCCACTTCTCTCAGACTGAGGAGGATTCTGGCTACTTAATAACCTAGTCAGCCTCAAACTTTCAGACCTTTCATCCTCAAAAACCTTGCACAAATCCTCAGTCAGGTCTTGCTAAGAAGTTAATAGGAAACATTGGTGTATTCCTTAGCAGTGTCTAATCAAAATTAATTTAATGCATGCATATTAACTGAATTGAGAGATTAACTTCAATTTGTTAGACATTGATTCAGATGGACATAAGGCTCTAGAGTTTTATGCACTGTGGTTTTATTTACACTTCTTAGTACATAATTTTTTTCCTTCAAAAGTAACCCAAACAACTGACATTGCTCAAGATATTCAAAGGGAGAACCACCAAGAAACCAGAGAACACTAGAAGCATGATATGATAATTAAAAATGAAAAAAAAAACATCCAAACTAAGACTGATCCAACTGTCTCCAGCAACACAGCAGCACATGTTGCAACCAATAAGTAAAATAAGGGAAAGGAGAATGGCATTTTCCATTATTTTCCATTTCCTCAGAGCATTCCTAAAGCACTTTTCTTGCTCCTCAGAGTAACTCTTGCTTTGGCCCATCCCTGTGCACACCCCTGCCAGCTGAAAGTTACTCTTACCACACACAGAAGGTCCTTGGAACAGCTAAGTTGCGGTTGGTGTAGCAATGAGTAATAATGATTTTAGTTTCTGACTGGGAAAAAAAAAAAAAGAGTAAGAGAAGACACTTGACAAACATTTCTCAACACATACTGTGAAAAAAGACTGTCTTTAACAATTAGTTTATTAGTGAGCTTATTAATGTAAATGAGTCTTAGTTCAAGGCTGTGAAGGAATGATTGTATTTGTGCTACTCTGTCATACACCAGCACTCCAGGAAGCCTAGCAGTTGTCTGGTACAGGAAAATACTGTATTTACAAAAGGTTGAAAACATTTGGAAAATCATCCACTTATTCAGATGCCTTGAGAATTTTATTAGACATTTAATGTACAGGACCTCTTATTTAATCACATCTCCAAATATTGGAAATGGAATTCACTGTCTCAAAAGGCCTGAAAGTAATGCACCCTCACAACATTATAATGTCAACCTTTGAAAATTTCTGATGAGAAAAACTGAATAAGTCAACCTCAAAATGAACAGTAAAAAAAAACATTTTTATAAGCAGATTCCTACTTAAAGAGATTGTTCCTTCCCTCTCCCCCTTCCTAAAAGTAGAGGTCAGAACTGGCACAAGGGAAATATGTGAATAAAATCAACATAATATTTTTTTCTCAGCAGTCCACCTGTTTCAATTAAATTTTCATAACATTTCCTATAGTTTTAGTTACTTACAGGAACTGGAAATCCTTCGTGTTCAAGACGCAGTTGTGGATCCAAGGACTTTGCTTGCCAGAAAGTCAAATAGGAAAGCTCAGCTGTCAAAAATACTTTCTGAAGACGAGATTTTTTAGCAAAATCTCTAAATGTTTTGTGGTCACTTGCCAGATAAAACTGTAAATAAAAATATGTATTAAGGACAGTATTAATGTCAAAGAAACAAGATATGTAATTTTGAAACATAATTTTGAACAAAAGAACTTTTCTCCTGGCTCATGACAGATCAGTCTTCCCAGCTAAAACTATGCAGGCAAAACCCATAGAACAGATTCTATACTGTTGATAAACTCATTAAGTAGTTATTCTACATACAGATTTGTTAATACTAATTTAAAATTGAATTTATATTCCAAATATTTTTATCTCACCAAAGTGATTGCTGAGAAGGAAAACTTTCTCACAGTTGTGGTGATTTATTTTTAGTGCATATGCACATGTAATGCATTTTTTGCTTTTAATTTGCAGAGGAAAAGAATGCTACCATTTAATAGAAATCTGCTTCCTCAGAATGTTAGAATAATGCATGACTTTATGTTCCTACTATGGATTATCTTCATCAGAAAGGAAATCTTCTCATTTTGGAGTTTCCCAGCTGAGTTGGAAGGGACCCACAAGGATCATTAAGTCCAATACCTAAGTGAGTTGTTCAAAGTGAAAAAACCCTAAAATCTCCTTGAAGAATTCTCTCATTATTCACAATCTAATTGTGATTTCTTTGTCTTTCCTTTTTTTAGATTTTATTCAGTCATTCTGGCTAACAGCCCCCTTGGTCTGTATACCTGACCTCAGGTAAGTAGCATAAACTTTCTAATTAGGAATTACTTAATCTTGGTCTATGCATGATTCTGAGCCTGTTCTGTAAAACTAAGATGTTGCACACCCAAGTGTACAGCCTTATTCTTAGAGAGGGATTCAATGCACATTGCCAGTACATGCTACCACTGCCATTTGCAACTTTGTTGCCTTACCAGTTTGTCAGAAACCCCTCCTTTTGTCCCCAGAAGAAAGTTTTGCCCGTATCTAAGTGGTTCACCCACTGCACTTCCATCAACACTGTTAAAATTGTAAAAAGGATAAAAGGTACATTCAAATCATCAGTTTTACTGTTGTTTAGGTTTTTTTCTCTGTTTTCGTCTACAGTTAGATGTTGCTTTGTGACAAAATGTTGTATTGTTAACCTTTTAAAATAAGTAAAATACCTTAACCTAAGGCAGAGCCTTTGACTATAGAGCAAGACCCTGTTCTTCTGTTTCTTCTCCAACAAACAGCAGCAATTAAATATATATTTGATAGAGAGAATATGCTGGGTTTTTTAGAACAGAACCATGTCCACTTCATAGAAAGCAAAAGCAATGACATATATTTCTGTTTGCAGGAGAGTGAATATTAATACTAGTGATATTTTGACATGTTTTGTCTGCAACTGAAATAAAAACAGCTGCAGAATTTATCAAGTGATACAGTAAACTTGATTCTGTCTTCACACCTAAGCTGATTTAGAGGTCCTTGGAATTAATCAGAGTAATATGCAGCACAGAATCAAGCTTAATGCATGACTGAAGACTCTTTCTTAAATAAACTAAATTTACTCCTATTCCTTTGTATATTAGCAAACTTCATTGCATATTTCTCAAAACAAGATACCTAAAGCTAAAATAATAATTGAAAACAACTCAGAATAAAGTAGCAGACCTTACAATACAGAAAGCATTTCGACCTATGGGGTCCACCCTCTTGACTGCACTAAGTCCACGTGAGATCTGCAGAGGCTCATCTGAGTACAGGGACACTTCTTCCATGTCGACAGCCAGAGTTACATCACCACACAATTCGGGGTCCCTCTCCTCCGAGGTCCCTCCCAAATCCGAGGATTTGCTGTCTGGGTTCATAAGCAACACGGTGTCTCCAAAGTGAACAAATCCATCCGAAGATACTGACAGCTCTACCTAAATTAGAATTCACATGGTACTTTACAGAATTATGTGAACCTAGCATCACAAGTATTTTAGCATATAAATTCCGTATCATTCTTAGTGCATGCAGTACAATAATAGGAGTTATGCCACTCTGTGGGGGTCATGGGGAGGTGGACACAATCATCTTTAAAAATTACCTTCTTGAAAATATTCTCTTGAAGTCTGGCTAATCTCTGTATTAAAAGCTGTCCTTTCTCTCTCTTACGGATAAAATCCCTCAGGAGGTCCTGTTGGCAAAGGAGAGAGGAGCAGATATGTTATCCAGGAGCAGATATGTTATCCAGCACCCACAGCCTCGCGTTTAAAGTGGATTTGGAGAGCCGGGGGGGGGGGGGGGGGGGGGGGGGCAGCCCCCAGCGAGCGGGGGAGGCGGCGGTGCCCGGGGACGGCGGTGCCGGGGGAAAGCGGTGCCCCGGTACGGCGGTGCCCGGGGATGGCGGTGCCCGGTACGGCGGTGCCCGGGGACAGCGGTGCCCCGGTACGGCGGTGCCCGGGGACGGCGGTGCCCGGTACCTGCTGCGCGTACTCGTCCTCCAGCCAGTTCCCGATGCGGACCCCGAGGCGGTAGGAGGCCATGGCGGGCCGGGCCGCGTCCCGCGTCGCCATAGCGACCGCGCTGCGCCGCGATTGGCCAGCCCGGTGAGGGCGGGGCAGTGATTGGCCAGCTCGGGGAGGACAGGGCCGCGATTGGCCAGCCCGGGGAGGACAGGACCGCGATTGGTCAGCTCGGGGAAGGCAGGGCCGCGATTGGCCAGCCCGCGGCAGGCAGGGCGGGGCCGGGGCGGCGCTGATGGCGGAGCGGGGCCGTGAGGGGAGCTGGGATCCGGGAGTGTTGAGGGTGATCCCGTCCTGCTGTAAATGCCGGCTCCTCCCGAAACCCTGTCCCCAGGTGCACACATCTTTTAAATCCCTCCGGGGCTGGTGACTCCAGCACTGGCCTGGGCAGCTTGTTCAGTGCTTGCCGATCCTTTGGGTGGGGCAGTTCCCTGTCTGAGCTCCGCAGAGCGGCCTGAGGCTGTTCGCTCTGTTCCGCCCCTTCCCGTGCCGGTCTGTGCTCCAGGGCAGCGGGACAGCTCCGGTCAGTGCCTCCTCGGGCACTTGGCTTTACACTCCGTGTCAGACAGAGGGGTGCATCAGCTGAACACAACAAATGAGTTCACTCCATTATCACAGCGCTGTTGGTGAATACTGTCACACGTAGAGTAGTTTGGGTCGAAAGGGACCTTTAAAATCATCTCGTTTCAGCCCTCCCCTGCCTGGACAGGGACACTTCACCACACCAGGTTGCTCCAAGCTGACCTTGAGCCTCTCTGGGGATGGGGCAGCCACAACCTCTCTGAGCAACCCGTGCCGGTGTTTTACCCCCCTCACTGTGACAAACTTCCTAATGTTTGAGGCAGTGAATGGATCAGGTGAATGTTTTGATTGTAAATGTTTTGCTTTGTTATTATCTTGGTTTCAAATCTACATGGCAAGTTAAGCTAAGTGACTATGCTGTGTGTTTATTTTCCAGAAAGGCTAAGCCAATGATCTTCAGAGAAGGTGTAGATCCTTGCACAACACATTTAATCCCTTTATGACTGTCACGGTTTTCTTGCTAGCTTACTATCCTGAGGTTTCAATGCTGGACAACTTAGAAAGATTAACAAAATTGTTTTTTGCATGGACAGCTGGGCTACGTGTTATCATCAGGCAGTTTTGACAGTAATTCACATGAAACTTGGCTCTTTTCTGTTTGCTTTTTAACACAAAATGTATTACTCAAAGAGTTATTTAGCTCATCCGAAACGTCTAAAGACCAAATACTATCCATTTTTGTTCAAATAGCACCACTCAGTGTTCAGTTCGGTAAGTGACACTTCCCTACACATAGCTCTGCTGTCAGCAATGCTGAAACTGTGTAATTAAAGAAACTTTGTTCATCTTAGCCGAATGTTAAAAGCCAAACCCTTTTTCTTGTTTCAGAACTAAACCACTTAAATCAATATTCAGTAATACATCATTGTTATAAAATCATCTATTATAGTTCCCCGTGTCATTAAGAGCAGGTGCACTGTCTTCCTGTAGAATGTAGGTAATATATAGAATTCACAGCAAGCTTCCAAAGTTTTGTAACATTATGCACTGGCTGTACTTATGTACTTAACACATACTGATACAGAGAGAAGTATTTGTACTAAAATGTAACTGTGTACAGAAATATCTCCAAGCATCTCTTAGCAGGATTGTGCTGAGAATCCTTGTTACCTGGAAGGGTTTAATTTCTGATTACATAGTATTTCCTGTAAACAAACAAAAAGAGCTGCCTCTAAAGATGTTTGAAAATTGAACATCTTCCCTGCAGGAGAGGTTACAGGAGTTCAGCTCAGTTTCCTTATGTGCAGATAAAATCTGTGTTTACTTCTAACAGTTGTTTGCTTTATTAAATGGTGTGAAGAAAAGCTGTGCTTGTGAAAGAATTGATCTAAGTTTTGTGTGTCAAGTTATGCCAGAATACAAATTGATCAGAATTAAAGGTCTATGTGATTTACTGAATACAACAATATTGCAGGGGGGTTTGTGTTTGGTTTTTTAAGTCATTGTAAAGTAAAATTTTAGCCAGCTACTTTCAGAGACTGTTCCACTGTCTGGAGTTGCAGATCTTTTACTCTTTTTATCTATTTTTGTTTTGATTTGTTTTGGTTTTTTTTTTTTAATGAAAGATAACTAGATGGTTGAGAAGACCCCAAATAGCACATAGAGCTGTCTAAGCCTTTAGTTTACATAAAAGGCTGGGCTGGTTAGACTTTTGATGGCCTTAAGCTTGTCAGAAATGTGTGAGCTAGAACATGTTTTAAACACTTCAAATTATAAATGCATTAGTATATATCAGTACTACAAATTATCGTGTGTGGTCCAGTCTGGCTAAATGACAAGGTCTGAATGGCTGTGAACATACATTAAGTCCATGAAATATGAATGCGATCTTACTTAGAGAAAGTGGCAGAGCAAAAAATATAAAAAATAAGTCATCAAATCACACACATGTGGGATGAGAATGATTTTAATACCTGCCTGTTCTGCCTTGGGAGTGTGTCTATGGGGTTTTTTCTTGTTTTCTTTTTCCTTTTGAAAACTGTGGGTATGCCAAATTTGATTAAGAGCACAGACCAAATAATACTGTACAAGAGCAAAACGTTATCTGGGACAATTTGTCTCCTTTCATGTTACTATTTTACACTAGCATTATTCTGACACATGCTATGCATTAGTTTTCTGTGCTGTTATTAGGTTTCTGACTATTAAAGTGATTAATCTACTTGTTAATAGTATAATGACAGTTTCTTATTCTAGCCTGTGCCCCAAACACTCCTCTGTTCACAGAACAAAAGGAATGAAGTAGTTCATGCGATATGATTTAAGGATTGTTGTTTTGCCACTTGTGGGGATGCCTCCCATTTTGGCTGTGAATTTAGTGTGGAGTTTTCCTATAATGATTTTTGCTGGGAAGCAGTAAACCTGTTCACAGTACATTATTTTCTGAAATGTAGCAATTCATTAAACTGACCTTTCAGTCTACCTTTTACAAGGAAAAGGAGCAGGATTCTTGTGTGCCATATTGGCAGTAAGTTTGCTGATAGAGGTGCATGAGTGGAAATTTACCTTATATGGAATCTGGTTAAAGACATCCAAAATGGATATTATTGTTCATTTGGTGTTTTCTAACCAAAAGATTCTGCTAGAAAAAGAGAGAAAGGGAAAGGAATAATTTGCAATGTGTCTAAGACCACTAAATACTTGCCAGTTAATTTGGATTGAGTTATCCACATCTCCATGGTGTTTTCTACTGGTTTCTAATTTAGACTTGTACAGGGCATTCCCTTTAGAGAAATTGTATAATGAATATTTTTTCTTCAAATTGAGCTGTTCCATCATGACTGACAGTGACAGATTTGAAGATTTTCTCCTCTGCCTGACTGAATTCCGTTCAGCAGGTGGACTTGAAAAACCACTGGAGTTCTGTGTCTCAGAAAAATATTGTCATTCCAGAAGCAGTCGTTTATGAAAAGAATATAGAAATTTTAAAGTATGTCTCCAAGAAAAAATACTGTATTTTTCAGAGATCTGTATTAACTCTGAATCAGCTAAAATACTTTCATCAGCAATAAATAGTTTAGTGTGAGCAGAAACACCATTAACAAAGCTCCATTTGCTTCTTACATTTATCTCTCCACAGCAATGTGCATTATGTATGTCTACCCTTAGGCAATTTAAAAATTCTTATTTTCCAAGCTGTGGAGTATTTCTCCAAGGTGTCTGACCAGAACAATGAGATTGTCTATATTGCTGGCTAAGGAAAAGTCTCAGCTGACTTCCTTTAAGAACTGCTTGTTTGGGACCTACTTGAAGAGGCTTGTGATGTTCACCCACTTCCAAGGTGTGGAGTGCATGGCATGTGCTGAACAGCAGGTTCTGTCATCAGAGCAGGCACCAACACAAAATCACTGTGGCTGAGGCACAGTCCTATTTATAATGGGTGGAAACCAGGTCACTGTCTCTCGTGGTCACTGATCTGTTTAAACTTTAGTTTCCATGAGTGCTCATGCTTGAGATTTTGAAATTTGCTTTTTGTTAGCAATTTTTGTATGTAAAAAGCAATAGTATGGTTATCTATAGAGAAAAAAAATAGCCACAATCTCCATGACTTAAGCTGACTTTGACTGTGTGAGCTGTTCAGACATAAAGTCCTGCCAATGTGAACATGCTGCGCCTGAAACTGGAAGACAACATTTCTGCATGACCTCTTGTGACCAGACCATTCTGTTTGTTCCCACTTTAGGGCTGTCTATAGATAGTGCTCAGGGTTGTCTTCACTTCCCTTTTTAGCCTTGCCTGCAGCATGATTCCTCTCCTTTATTGTGAATTGCCTATTGGATCAATCATTGCCCTGTGATGTCATTTCACACAAGTGATGTCACTTTCCTCCTTTTGGATTTTACTTCCCTGTGAGGATAGTGTTAAAAATGACACCAGCCTGTTCCCTTCATTTTCCATGGTGCAAATATATGCTCCAGTCCTGAAGCAAAGTAATGATGCACACAAATAACACTGGAGATACGGGTCAGTCTATCTTCAAACCTTTCTTAAATTTGTTTGCTAGAAACTGTATCCCACTGGCCCCCATTAGAAACTTATTTGTGGTAGTTAAGGTTTAGAAATAAGGAAATTATAAAGATCAGAATACTTTGGTTCCCATGAATCTGTGTTATATAAAATGAACTGTCTAGAAACAGGAACAGAAACTGATTTATGTATTTATACCACAAAACATGAATCAGTTAAATATTCCTGGTAGAGCAAAAAGGAACGTGATGAGACTCTTTTGTCCTAAGGGGGAAAGAACATGTGTATTGTAATTGTTTTTAGCATTTTCTGCCACCATTCTGCTATTTATGGTTTTGAATTGGCTGACCCTACTCTGGCAGTGTATTCATGTCAGACATCACGGCCTGCAGAAAATATTTTATATGTCTGAAGACCCTGGCAACTGTTCTAATTTGAGGCTCAGAACATTTTGCCATTTCTGTGTAACAATGGGCTTGTAAATTAGCACTGCTTAGTTGGTGGCTTTTATTTGAGCTGTGGGAGAGAAACTGTGTTCCAATGTAATGCTGAGAATGCAACAAATGGATGGAGCATAAATAATGGAATAAATAAGAAAATTACTAAAGTGGTCGTTGCAATGTACAATAATATACAAAGTTTATTTGCTAGTCCAAACTGGAAAATTTAGACCATTCATTCCATGAACACCTGTTCTGCAGAGAAATAACTTTCTTGCTGAAATAATTTTTAATTATTAGAAAGAGTCATCCTATATGTACTTTTCAGTGGACTGGAATGATACAAAATAGGCCATTTTTAAACCGAGTTTTAACTGAAGCCTCATAAAAACAAACAAGTAAAACGGATTAATGTAAAAGCAAGGGCTGAGCTCTTTACAAAGGAGGCAGAGTACCTGGTCTGTGTGCAGAACAGCATTTATGTGCTGCTCCCCTGGGGCCTCTATGATCACACAGAGCACTGGGGGGACTGTGCTCCCCTCTTAGTCCCTCTCCAGGGAGATCCTGGAGGCAGCTCAGAATTGCACTGGCATCTCATAGGTATAGGGAACTCTTGGATAAAGCTCAGTATAAATTGTGTTTAAAATGTGTTATTTATGTTCATTGAGCTAATCCAAGAGCAGCTTTCCATTCTCCCTCCTTCTGGCAGCAGAAAGTATTTTCAATAATATATCAGAACTAGTTATGAAGATCACCAGGCCATGAGCATTGATATTATTTAAACATTTGAGAATCCATCTTGGAGGGAGGAAGCAAACACACAAAATAATGCATAGAGTCATCATAATCCATATGATTTGCTCATATCTTTCTCCCTAAAAAGTTTATGATACTCCCTATCATCTTGATAGGAGTTACTGAGGAGCAAGGAATATCAAATAAATTTCAAGGTTACTTAGCTTTTTAACTAGAGCTTTCACATGGAAAGAGAAACACCAAATACAACATTTGAGCAATCTTAAGCAGTAGTAGCCTTTTGAGTAATCTTCTGAATAATTTGAGTAATCTTAAGCATCAAACAAGAAATGAAAGAAAATACTAGTGATATAAAAACTTAAAGAGTTATATTCAATAAGAGAAAAGCTGATAGATTTTCTACTTGTTGCAGGGTACACCACTCATGTAAGTGGACCGGTATTTGCATAAGGTGATTATCAAAGAGGAAATGTATTTGCATTTATATCTCAATTTTGTGTAGTCTTTTGGCATCAGAAACTGTTCTCTCTCTTAAAAAATTCATGTGGTGATAGAGTTCTCTGTGGAGAACAATCACAAAATCCACAGAGAACTTTTTAATCTCTGTTGATCCTGGCAGCAGTCTTTGGCAAAACTTAAAGCAGCAATGGTGTCTTTCAGAAGACTTGCTTGATTTCCCATGATGTAACAGGGTATGAAAATGTTTCAGTAGAGTCAACTTTGAGATAAAAAAAATCTGAATGGAGATGGTCATGCAGGGACTCAAGTTCCAAGGCTAAAGAGTACAAATTTGTAATTAGTGCGACAATGCAGGATTTTATGTCAAAATATTAGTGAAAATGTAAAAGAAGAAACATCAGGAAACTGGTTACGTTAGCAAAGAAGTTTCATGTGGAAATTTAGGCCACATATGGCTTAGGAAAACAGAGAATAAATTCAGAAAGGAGAAAGGTGAGTTAACCTTGGGCAACCAGCTAGATCTGAACACTAGCTGGAAGGAGAGAGAAAGGTTTGCCTCTTGGAGGAATAAGTGGCATTCTCTGGATTCTTTCAGACCTGGACCATGAAGAAAGAGTCAAAGCTGACCATCAGGTTCTGGTTGATATGGAATACAATGGTGACATCATGGCAGAGAAGGAATCATAAAATCAGAATATCCTGGGTTGGAAGAGTTCCACTGGGATCATTGAGTCCATCTCCTGGCCCTACACTCCAA